CTGAAAAGGTCACATACTCGTGAACTGATTGATTCTGCACACTGTTTCAAGACTATGAGGCAGATATTGTCACATCCTGGTGACTTTCTTGGACGCACGGATTTCAGGTTTTGGTAATAATAATAATAATGATAATAAGTTGATCATTCACCAAACCAACAGCTGGCACTAGGTTAAGGTAGTACTCTGAGATTACGAGTACCTAGTTTAACTGGCCATTGAAGTTGGCACTGAAGATCTCAGTCATCTTCAAGTTGGTAAGGTATTCGTCATTTGGAACCTTGATGCCTAAAAACACTGGTTAGTAGGTTTTCTTTCGTTTATGAACTTAAAGAGTTACTTCTGGTTTGCCTGTATTTTTGTTGCCAAACCAGACTGGAATAGTTTCCAATCACTTCAAGCCTTGTCACTGTATATACTTCCGATTGCGAAGTAAGTACTATGATAATATTCCTTCGAACTTTTCTTCTGTACATATCTCTGCTTTTCGCCTCTGGCAGTTGGTCACTGCCTCGCCTAAAATATGTTTTTCTCACTCTAAGTGAGTGAATTGCCTCAGGTACATTGTGTAGGACATCAATGAGAATGCTGTGTCTCACTATTTGTTACTGATTCTCTAATGTTGAACCTATCCATCCTCGTTGGCATTAGCCTTGTAGCAATTGTAGGTCACGTTTCACCATCTGAAAATATTGCTTCTGATCAAGTTAGGTAAGACTGCCCCATGATCACTACTTTCTATAGGTGTCTGGACATGAGCATCGAAGACTAGAAGCTGATCATTTGTCAATATATAATCTAAATTTGGGATCTTCATGCTTATTCCATTCAGTATCGTCACACACATGTTAATTCAGTCCAGAAATTCTGGTGTTTGCAGGAAGTTGCTTTGGGAATCAACCTGTATGATGCAAAAGCTGCTTGCGAAGATTTAGAGAATGAGTGTTTAAATCTTCAGTCAGTAGTGTTCGGTCAAATCCGAAGAGTGGTAGGTACGATGTTTTCTGTGGAACTGTTTTCCTCGTTCTTGGGATCTTCGTCATTTGAACCTCAGACAGATTATGTTCATCACATGCCATTAGAAAATATCCACTTACTTGAAAAGTAGGAACAAATCACGAAAATGAGCATAGATCTCTTAGAAAACCGTTCATTACAAGCATCGCGCGGTATCCATACTCTGTTCCGTTTCAAAGAAAGCTCTACATTTCAGCTAGCTGCAATTGAACCCTGGAATATTCAATAAATTAATGAACTTTGTCTAACGTCACTGTCCCAAATTTATAGCGTTTTCGAAGACCTGGTTCAGTCATTTTCCTTTTTTATGCTCAGTAAGCGCTCCGTAGTGTTAATAGGTATTCAGAAAGTTGCAACAACCCATGACTTCGTTGGTATATTAGCTCAAGTTCAGGCCGCCTTTGTCGTCTCTTTGACATATCCTCACTGGGCGAATTAGGTGCACAAAAAAACAGTTATGCCCAAGTCAGACGTTAAGGGCGGCATAATAGAATACGGGAGTTGCCTCCAAAATGCAGTAAATTTGAAATAAAACACTGAGACAAAGGATCGTAAATCAAGCAAAGTTTTAGGATTTAGAGGATAATATGGGAACAAAAATAAATATTGGTTTTAATCGGCTAAGCACAGCAACCTTAGCTTGGTCTGATCACGGTTGTTTCATTTGTCACTTTTACTCTTTACCGATGAAAAAGGATAAAGTTTCTGTCCTCGAGAGTGTTTAAGCCTCTCAAGTCGGTAGAAAAAATCGGATTGTTTTCTAGTACTGATGGGAGATCAACGGGATCACTTCAGGCTCGAAGAGCGCGTGCGCGTATATAATGTGAATAAATAAATATTTTCTCATGAAAAATAAACGCCCTAAAAATTGATGTCTTTTCCAAGTTGCCAATAAAATGACCCACAAAAGTAGTACTTACTTTACTTACTTACTTACGCCTGTTACCCCCAATGGAGCATAGGCCGCTCACCAGTTTTCTCCAACAAAATCTGTCCTGGCCTTCCCTCTCCAGTTCTGTCCAATATTTGTTCATTCCTCTCATATCTTTCTCTATTTCTCTGCGTAATGTGTTCCTTTACCTTTTGCTCTTCATTTTGCCTTGAGGGTTCCGATTGAAGAATTGTCTCATGACATATTTAGGTGCTTTTCGTAGTGTGTGTCCTATCCACTTCCACCGCTTCTTCCTGATTTCCTCCTCCACTGTAATCTGACTTGTTCTCTCCCACAGTACGTTGTTGCTGATGGTGTCTGGCCAACGAATCCGAAGTATTTTGCGTTGACAGCTGTTAATAAACAATTGTATCTTCTGAATGATTTCTTTTGTAGTTCTAAAGAAGCACTGGACAACGGGACAGAAAACATCACATAAGTTTAATACGGCCTTTCTTCGGGATACCGTTAAACTCAACGAATTCAAGATAGCCCTCACCAATAGGTTCCAGGCCTTTCAGGATCTACTCAATGGAGAGGACGCAACATTGGAGAACAATAGGAAAGGGATTAAGGAGGCAATCACTTCAACATGTCACGAGGTTCTGGGTCACAAGAAGTACGATCATAAGGAATGGATCTCTGTTGAGACTCTTGCAAAAATTGAAGAAAGGAGGAACAAGAAGGCAGCAGTGAATGTCAGCCGAACAAGAGCAGAGAAAATTACCGCACAAGCTACATACACAGAAGCAAACAGGGAAGTGAAGAAGAGCATCATAGCTGACAAACGAAAATATGTGGAAGATCTATCAATGACGGCGGAAAAGGCTGCAAGAGAAGGAAACTTGAGACAACTATATGAAACAACAAAGAAGCTCGCCGGGAACTATCGTAAACCAGAACGACCAGTGAAAAGTAAGGAAGGCAAAGTAATCAGCAACACTGAACAACAGCGAAATAGGTGGGTAGAGCACTTTAAGGAACTATTGAATCGACCAGCTCCACTGAACCCACCCAACATCGAAGCAGCATCCATAGACCTCCCAATCGATGTTGGCGCACCCACAAATGGAGAGATCAGTATGGCTATCAGAAAAATCATGAGTGGCAAAGCAGCAGGACCAGACAACATTCCCGTAGAGACAATCAAAGCAGAGGTGGCAGCGACTTCAAAAATATTGCACATCCCCTTCAACGAGATTTGAGGTGAAGGACATGTAACAACATACTGGAAAGAAGGATAACTCATCAAAATACCAAAGAAAGGTGATTTCAGCAGGTGTTAGAACTACAGAGGTATCACTCTTCTTTCAATACCAGGCAAAGTCTTCAACAGAGTATTGTTAAACAGAATGAAGGACTTCGTAGACGCCCAACTTCGAGATCAACAGGCCGGATTTCGTAAGGATCGATCGTGTACTGACCAAATTGCTATATTACGGATCATTGTGGAACAACCGCTTGATTGGAACTCACCACTCTACATCAACTTCATCGACTACGAGAAAGCATTCGATAGCGTGGATAGGAAAACACTGTGGAGGCTTCTTCGACACTACGGTGTGCCTGAGAAAATAGTTAACATCATACGGAATTCTTATGATGGATTCAACTGCGAAATCGTACACGAAGGACAGCTAACAGACTCTTTCGAGGTGAAGACCGGTGTGAGGCAAGGTTGCTTACTCTCACCCTTTCTCTTTCTCCTGGTCATCGACTGGATTATGAAGATGTCGACATCTCGAGCGAAGCACGGTATAGAGTGGACAGTTAGGACGCAGCTGGATGATCTGGACTTCGCAGATGACCTGATTCTTCTATCGCACACTCAACAACAAATGCAAGAGAAGACGACCAGTGTATCAGCAGCCTCTGCAGCACTAGGTCTCGACATACATAAAGGAAAAAGCACAATTCTCCGATGCAACACAACATGCACCAACCAAATCACTCTTGATGGAGCAGGAAGAAGCATCTCCTAAACGTGAATGCGAAGATTTGAACAACCGATACAATGAATTCATCTTCATACCCATTGCACAAAACTATTGCATATGTATTTATATATGGTTTAGAGATATTGAAAGTTATTATAGGCCGAAAATGAAGTGAAGTTGGTATAGACCACACTTGAATTTTTAGTCTACATCCAAATATTCCAATCCTTCAGTTCAGTTACAAACACAAAAATGTGATTAAATACATTTATTTGTATCGATTGAACAGTCTCGTCGATATTGGCACATCCTGTGTGAATTGTCTCAATATTACCTTTAGGTGACAAACGATAATACCAGAGGTAGATAGTGACTAGCAGTGAAATCCTAGATGTGTGTTTCATCTTGCTTGTAACTCGGAGTGAGTATCAACTTGGAGATGTAAGTTCTTCCAGAAATTACATCCAGTTTTTTTAGAATTGAACGACTAACATACATTTAAGCATAAAACTGATTAAGTAGTTTACAATATTTAGTGTCAGATAGGATACACGCTGAGAAAAGCATACAGCTGTGTCAGAAGACAAGCCCTTACTCGGAAATAGAGAAAGACATAAGAAGAATGAACAAAAACTTGAAACAAATGGAAAGTGAATCCGTGGAAAGAGTTGGTCGGATAAAACTGGTCGGCGGCCTATGCTTCATCGGGGGTAACAGGCGTTAGTAAGTAAGTGGATCAGTATCACAACTCTCATCCGTCGGACACTACCAATAACCTGGAACCTTACCGAAAGAACAACAATCAAGCGCAAAGAAATAAACCGGTTAGAAATAGCTCGTGATATAGATATTGGATATTGAATCTATTGGATATTTCATGCATCGGTTGGTTAGTTATAGTGGCGTGAAACAATACTAACCATCTTAAATATGATATCGATGTTCACACAATTAAGACATTAAACGACAGAAACGTCTCTAGTCAATGACTATTAGAACAAAAGAGATGTCTACACAATTCTAGATTGAGAAGCAAAGGAAATCACATTTATCTACAATATAGTCAAGCACACTCGTACATGGAGACAACAACAACAACAACAACAACAACAACGTCATCTATTGAAACTAACTAACCTTAACTGTTCAACATCAGTTCGTTGACGTTCGACTTCATCTTCCTTTAATTGTAATTTATGCTTCGTATGAACTAGATCAACTTTTGTATCACATAGTTGACTTTGCATTTCATTAGTTCGATTATTTGCATGATTCAATTCTTCCGACAATGAGTTTACAACTTTAGTCAAACGAATAACTGACGTTAAAAAATAAGATAATAAATAAACGTATTTTACAAATGTGAAGATAATTAGTACATAAAATAAAGACATTTGAAATTCAAAAAGCTGTAACGACAAAATTAAACCATTTGCAAATATACAATTCTCATCACAAAATGTTCACATCAGCTTTGTGACCGATGAGAATCAGTGAGGATGAGTGATCATCCTGTTTCACCTGCATTCGGAACACACCTCGCAATTCTGTAGTTTGGACGCAGTTACTGATCGGTAGGTACTAGGATATTTCGGGCTTGCAGAAAATATGTTGCTCATCAACCACTGAATCAAAACGCAAGTATCTCTACATTTCTAATGTTAGTCAACCAGTGAGGTACACAGAATGACAATTAGTTAATCTTAAGTAACAGAATCCGACAAACACCAGCATGAACATGATTGAGACACCTGTTGTTCGAATAGATAATACCAACTGTTTTGTAGAGCAAGCACCAAATTTGAACTTGAGGAAAAGCATCTTTTGACATGACGACCCCCGAAGTCAATTAAACGCAGAACTTCTTAAAACCCCATAACTATCAGCCGGCAGCGAAGAGGATCGATAGAAGACTGCCGCTCATTCTGGAGTACATGTTCAGAGTCAGATCATACTTTCGTATGACGAATTAGAGAGTCATCATCAAACGGAGTGATTGTGACGTAAGCCTCGACACGAACTCGTCGACGACGGATGCTTTGTGACGTAGGTGTAGTTTTGAAGTATAGTGGAGGTAGCCAAACCAAAACACGGCTTCAAGGTTGGCTTGCACCGACACCTGAACTAGTGATAGGGAGTGAAGTAGTTGAGTGTATCGACGCCTCACTTACTTCGGGAGTCTCATCAGTGCTGATAGCCTGATGATTGACGAAGTCTCAGCACGACTACAGAAAGCTCGGTTGGCTTTTGCCAGCTTGCGTCATCTATGGCGCAGGCGAGATATCCGTTCGCTAACCAAAGGACGAGTGCACTGTGCAGCAGTTCGCTCCTTTCTACTATTCGGGTGCGAAACATGGCCTGTAAGAGTAGAAGATATTCATAGGTTACTAGTATTCAATAGCAGATGTCTTAGAAGCATTGCTCGTGTATCAAGGGAAAACTGAGAAAGCAATGCTGCCGTTTGGAAACGAGTTCTAGGTAAGGATGGCAGGTCAGTTGAGGATGTAATGAAACTTCATCAGTTTATGTGGTTTGGACATGTGTTACGAATGCCCAACCACCGACTGCCGTGACGAGCTATGTTTTGCGATGTGGAAATAGGTTGGACGAAAGCTAGGGATGGCCAAACCAAAACATGGCAGAAATCCATGAAGTCACTGACAAGTGGACTGAGTCATGTCAGTAGATGTAGGCTACCTGATCGGGGTCCGCGAGACGAAAGTCACCGATGGTTACAGACCTTCAATGACATGGCTCAAAATCGTTTGCGATCAAAATTTCTGTCGTCCCACTGAGTTACATAAAAATTGTGTATCTCAAAGCTAAAAGAACTAATTTAGATTAGGTTACAGTCAGATTATGCCTTAAATTTCCTGATAAATAGTTGATTCATCTAAATGCCCCCATCATCAAATACTGAATTGGAGTACAACATCAAATCTCGAGGAAGCAAAACTACCCATAAATAGAGTGAAAGCAGTTAGTAAAAAAACAATAAAATCAGTACCCTTATTTGAAATGAAAAGACTATGATTGAATTACTGGGATCAGTCACATTAACAGTCAAAGTTATAGTTGGTCATGAATTAGTGTGAGGAAAACATAACTCACTGACTGACTGACTGACTAACTTGTTGTGGTCAGCAAATCGATCGTAACCAATGGTTACAGACTTTTAATGACATGCCTCAAGATCGTTTACTTTGGTGCAGATGCATCCATTCTTCGTCTTCTCTCGAACTCTCATCTTCTGAATTCCCCATGCCACTTTTCCACTTTCCAAATTTACCTAACTGGATCATACTTCTCGAATCATATCTTCGACTTCTAATCTTTCCCATTACCACTTACATTTCTACCACCTCTATCACTATAGCATTTGAATTGACAATTCCATCTCCCTGTGCTAATGTGGTACGGAAACCTTAAATGATGGACGTCAGTACCAAGTTGCACATTACAGCTCTTTGACTGGCTGAGTAATACATTATATGAATAATGACAATTAAAAATATTCATTTCGTCTTCAACATTTAAACAGGTGATTATTAAACACTTAACTATTCAAATTCAAAATCAACTACTTACTTTCCTCCATCAAAGCGTCTGAACGATTAACATGAGTCTTCAATTCAGATTTGAATGAAGCTTCTTCTACATGAAGAACTTCAATAAGACATTTGCGAAACTACACAAAAATACAACAATAAATAAACTAATTGGTCAATCATCAAATTTATGTATTCTACAAAAATGAATATACACAATAACAAGAGAAATAATACCTCATCTTCACGACGCATAAAAGCTGATATTCGTTCTGTCAATTGTTGTATAATTTGGCATAAAACACTCCCTGACGGGAACTCCACTCCTAAATCGGGAACTGATAATGTTGTCCTACTGCGAAGTTTATCACATGTTTTGGCAACCGAGGAAGTGATTGCTGAAACCCATAGTTTCTCATCCGTATCCAAAGCTTTAGTTAATGAAACTAATAGTCGGCTCATGAAACGTTTCATTGTCTCGTCGTTATCTTCATCGTTAGATTGCTCCTTACTAATCCATGGATTATTGTGTATAATCTACAATTCAAAGTTAAAATAACAAATGACTGGAATAAGAATCATACACACAGTAATGGTATTCACATGAAAAAATTCATCAAAAGTATTCATACTTTGGTCACTTCATTTACCGCTGCCTTCAAATCACCATAGGAATTACGCATTTCAATAATCGAAGGGCCACATTCATCGTCTTCTACTTTTACGGTGGTTTCTTCATTATCACTTGGTTTATTGAAAGCAAAACTCTCTGGTCTATCACAGACAGACTGACGAGCACTTGCGATCGCGGTCGCTGTTGCAAGTCGAATACTCTCTTCTCTCAGACGATTAGATAATTTCTAAATAGGAAGAAACACAGGTGTAAAGTAACGTGTCACATACCATGACATATTAAATAGTATTATCATAAACAAGAGAACAGGCACACGATATGACATTCTTTACAGTAACAGGTCAAGTTAGGTAAGCGCAGAGTAGAACTGCTCTTACAAACCTGATGCAGACCTAATCAAAGTGCTCCGTTTGTCAGGTTTATAACCACACAGACGTATGAACTTACAAATTCATACAATACGGTAAATCGATTGTACTATACATAAATATTAGGGCAGAACTATCTCAGAAATAAACTATAACATCTCACATGTATCATATATTTGTAAAAACATATAAAACAAACAATTACATTAAGCTCAGCTGAGACAGCTCCACAAGGTGCATCACTCTCTGATGATGATAGAAATGTTGAGTTGGGTGACTCTTCTTCTTTATGTGTGGATTTTACACACGTTCGACGAATATATTCTTGTGCATGGTTAGAATGAAAATCTTCAAGATCACAACATACAACTGTTTGATTTTCAAGCGAAACTGGGATCTGTAAAGTTGTAGAGAAAAATGTTAACAATCGTAAGCGTTACTGTGAAGTGAAACATGTTAAGTATCTTAAATAATAGGTTATAAGATATATAATAACTTGAGACCCTTTGTTCAAACAAACCACTAAATGAAACAGAACTCATTGCAAGGAACTACTAGCTAAGGAATTTTCTTATCAAACAATAACACAATCAGCAGTGATTTTCAATATATGAACAAGCAGTATACTAAATATGCCATTATCTATGACATCAAGGGACGCCAGATAGCCAGCCAAGAAAAAAAACAACTTACTTCATCTGTTTGAACCATTTTTGTGCAGAAAATTGACCTTGAGATCGGCAAATCTGTTTGTATTGATACTGAAGACTTCAGGTTAGCATTATCAATACATTCAACTCTAGTTTTTAACTCTTTGATTTCCGATTCCAACTGCGTGACTTTCAATTCTAAGGATTGCTTTACAATGAAAGAAAATACACAAATCAATTGAAGTATTTCTTTTGGACGAAATTAAAACAACATAGACAACGATTAACAGGTAGTTATGATAAACACAGATTAAGTAACGAATAAATAAGACAATGCAGTTAGGATGTTTGCAAACGTGATTCTTGAAAAAAACAGCCAAGGCGTTATCGAAACAAACATCACAGTAGTTCAGTTCACAGCTAGGATCTCAGTGTAACATACCCTCTGTGAAACGTTCAACGTGATCAAGTCAAAAAACCATTCTTGTAACTGCTGGTGATTTGAGTTAAATCAAATTTAAAATACTGCCTAATGTATGAAAATCTATAGATGGACAACTAAGGGCAATCAACATGCAACATACAGAAAATTCGCAATTAAGTAAACAACCATATTTCCTTCAAATAAACTAGTATTAAACAAACTTTACGAGTTGATAATTCCCTGAAACGGAAAATTCTGTTGTGTGTGATACATCAGTCTTCAGTACACCGTAAACAACGTACCACCTCTATGAGATTAGAAATTCACATTTAGGTGAAAACTATCACGGTGTCAATCTGAAACCTGCAGGCTAGCTGTTTTCCAACTGTATTATATTTTTAAATTCTTTCCCGTTTACGATTTGCTTTCCCTAACTAATTGTGATCGTTTTCTGGATTATTCACTTACGCATCTTGATAAAACCTCTACTACATATGTACCTGATCTTGATTTCTCACTAAATATAAAAAGCTTTATTATTTTATCTCTACAGACTGATTTATCTTCTCATCAAATTGAATTTAATCGTTTAAGCACCGTTCAACGATCAATTATACTCCACGTCCGGCCAATTTCATTAGCTAGCAGGTAGATCTACACTTATAAGTTAGTTAGGTTGAACATAAGCAAGGGAAAACAAGGGATAAGGCCTAATAATATAGCGCTATATGGTAGCAATAAATATTTAGAACATGTGTAACCGTTTCATGACCTAAATTACACATGAAATAAACTAATCACTTACTTTATCTTCACTCAGAAGGAATATGTCTTCATCTTGTTCTACAATAGCTTCTTTACGTCGTAACACTAGTTTACTGAGACGTTTACACTTTTCCTATAGATAAATAAAATATTTACTGAAAATTGTATGGTGAACGTGTTGTTTAGCTTTTAGTACAATTAGTAAACAATGAGATCAGTTATGTGTCATTGCATTAGGTCGGAATATAACTAATGAGTACTATAAATATTCGTTAACAATCAATTATATTTTAAAAACACAATGATGCTGATGTAAAATGAGAACAAACACGGATTACAACTAAAACATTGCACCCAATTGTCATACTTTAGACGATTAAGTGAAAACAAAAACAAATCCCTCTTCAAGATGTCATTTACTACCTCTGCTTTAAGTAATTGTTCTTTAACTCGGGTTAGATCATTTTCACGTTCCACTAACATTTCACGCACAGTCGCATTATCAAGTTGCAATTCTATCTGGAGAAGAAAATCAGTAAAGCAAGATCATGTAAACAGTATTTTTAAACTCGAAAAAAGGATCGAACATCATGGGAAACTTATAGTTAACATAAAATCAGTATAGAAATAGCAGCAACCGCAGCAACAACAACAACGAAGAATGGATGCATCTGCACCATTGCAAATGATCTTGAGCCATATCATTCAAAGTCTGTAACCATTGGTTACTATCTATTCGCTGACCACAACGAGATAGTCCACACCTACTAACATGGCTCAGTTCAGTGGTCAGTGATGTCGTGGATTTCTGTCGTGTCTTGGTTTGGTTACCTCGAGTATTCTACCAGACTACGCCTACATCAAAAAGCATCGATCGTTGAGGTAGTTGGTGGCTTGGCATATGTAACACATATCCCAACCACCCCAACTGATGATGAGCTATTCTTCATCAGTTGATTTGCCATCCTTACTTAGTACTCATTTCCTAACAAACGCATTGCTTACTTGACTATCATAGGGTACACGAACAATGCCTCAAAGACACCTATGAGCGAATACTAATAGCCTAAAAATATCCTCTACTCTTACTGGCCATGTTTCACAACGAAATAGTAGAACTGAACGAACTGCTACACACTATACGCATCCTGTAGTTGTTAGATGGATATGTCGCCTACGCTATAAATGATACAATATCACGAAAGCTAGTCAAGCCTCCTATATTTACGTCGGGATTTCCTCAGACACCAGGCAATCAGCACTGATAAGACTCCTCAGATAAGTGAAGGTGTCAAATCCATCAACTGCTGTACTCCCTAGCACTAGTTCAGGTGAAGTTTCAAGCCGACCGTTAAGTAAAATTTTGCGTTTTCGTTTTTCGTATCCTGAACATGCTTGCATTGTTGCTTAGAATAGTCAAGAAACTCTGCATTTTATCAGCGTTTTCGCCAAACAGAACTATATCATCGTCATATTCTTAGTCAACCAATGAATCGCCTGGTAGTAGGTTCACCCCGAGAATGTCAGATTAGGATAATGTTATCTCGAAAAGCACATCTATCACAAAGCTGAATAAGAATGGGCGAACAAAGCAACCCTGATGTCTACTATCTGCAGTAAATCAGTTTCGATGACAGTTCGCCATAGGCTATCACCTGACCAGTGGTGTTCGAGTAGTACCAACGCCGCTGCCTTTTCCATCGCTCGTGCTTTAGCTATCAACCATGTTAGCGATCATTGCGTAGGATTTTTATTAGCCTGCGCCTTAGCTGACTTCGCTCCTCATTATGTTCAGAGCCGGGTGAGATACGTTTATGAGCGTCTGTCAGTTCAGTGGGTGCTACTGAGATCCACGACTTCTTACTGGACTTATGGTTTACCCTACTAGCAGATATCACTACTATTTCCTCTGCGTTTTGGATATCGTTTCAAGCTGCCTCAGGTTGGGCATCACTGTCTACTTGGCCACCTAACTGCTTTGCCCGTTGCTCCTGAAACATATTCTTGGCTTCCTTGCAGTGTCTTCCTACGTACAGTAGTAAGACGCTGAAAAATACACGCTCGCATCAGAGCATAATCTGAATCTAAACATGTGCTCCGAAGGAGCGGTTGTCTATTGTCAAGCCCCTCCATAGGTAGTTGCTAGCTATGTGATTTAGTTGGGTCCAGCATTGGTTTGAATTTAGGGGTCGTTATGTCAAGCGATGTTTATATTTATGCTTAAAGTTAGCACATGCTAGAAATAGGTGGTTATCTGATGACGGTCGCCATTTTCCGTTCTTTTGGTCAGCACACAGGTGACTGTCTTCTGGGATCCTGTCTAAGAGAGCTAGTTCTGCCATAGGACTTCAGTCTATACCTACACCAGCGGGGCCACGGGAAGAAGCCACAGGGCTTTCAGATACACGAAGAGTGAGTAGAGATGTTACTTTATTTTTACATGGAGAGGTAAAGTGAATAACTCTACTCGGATCATGCATGCGCATTTCGGAGACGCAACATACATTTGTGGCACGAGATTCCAGAGTTCTAACTAAGGAAGCCTGTTGCCCCATTTGAGACAAGCTTCGAACGTTGGAAGCTCCAACATATAGTTTTTAGAGTGGTTTCAAGAGATCAGGAATAACGTTTAGTGATCTCGAAACGTTTGCATCAGTGGCACAAAGTGGAAAAGATTTATTACGAGGTTTATGAACGATTTTATTGTGACTAGTGTGGACTCGTGTACTGTTAAGTGTATGAGGGTGGATATCACTTCCCGGTTGCCCACCCCATAGAAAGGCATTTCTTGAGGAAACTGAAAAAGTAGTTAGATTAGCAGTGATCTTAACGACTTGATAGCGTGACCTCAGAGAACGAAAACTGCTTCAGACTGGTCATGCACGACGTTTTTATAGTAAATGTTTAACGTGTTAGGTCAACTCTGCAAACGTTTTTACCACTGAAGACGGAAATCCATGGGGTGAGGTGGGTGTGACATTTTAGTGTTGACCTTTTCTAACCCCTCCCTTTCTTGTAGGAAGTCAGCATCGCTGTAGATGCTGGTTGTCTGAGGAAAAATCTGTACTGCTGTCACAGCCCTTTGCAGTCAGAAGTTTGACTTTATCATCAGACTTTTAGTTTCCGCTTTCAATCTAACCATTCTTCAATGAACCTGACTAGTGCGGTAGAACCTAAAGGAAGTTAAGTTCCATACAATATAGCTGGTTCGGGTCATTACGCCAGGCAAGCCCGATTACCACTTCAAAGTAGCAGCTGCGGTCTGCAACATTTATAGCCTTTGTTATTAGTGTGAAAATATTTATTTACAAGGCAAAACTTTTGGATATAATAGACTACTCAGTGTCATTAATGTGAAGAAACAAGATGGAAAAAGATCTAAAAATATAAAGTGGCAATATGAATCAAAATACGGTCACTGTTTTATTTTCTGCACAATGTACGTGTCTGTGTCAAAGGAAAGTGCACTAAGAAATTAGTACAATGTCACCGATTTTATTAGGAATAATATCAAGTGAGGTAGAATTTTCACATTTTGCATGCCTCAGTCTTTTTTCAGAGAGCTGTCATGAAAATGTTGTGTTTGGGAATGTACTCTTGTATAATAAAGAGCCACAAATTATTTTTTTTTAACGTTGTGAAGAAATATGATTGTGATTAGAGATACGTGAGGATTTAATCACACCAAAAAATGATTTAAATCACACACTCGAAATTCGAACGGAATGCCAGAGTGCTTGTACACCAAACTATCTGCGTATTTTTTTAGTTTGTATTATAGAGTTGCAGTCAGTATTCAAAAAACAACTTGTAGTCAACTTATACTCCGATTGCGTGGGAAATCGCTCAACAAAGAAATTGTAATTTTAGGGATTTCCCAGAGCAAATTACTACTTTCGACGAAAAGTCAAAAGTCATCCTTTCAATAATCCTATTATGACGACATTTCTATTCAAGGTTCCACTAGTCAGCTACTTGTTTGCTCCGTATAAGTTTATTAAACGCAACAGATAAAGGTCGGTGTAAATAACACAAATGCTTCAACAATCTAATTGCCGCACATGATTTTTCTGTATGGAAGAGGGCAACTCGTCTGTAACAGTGCATATAAGACATAGTGTGACAAGGAGATAGACACTAGATAAAATTATAAGTGCACAGGTACAAACAAGCATGCATATGACGTATTAGTGTAGCATTAAGTTTCACAAATGAATGAATCCTAGAGGTACATGTCCGGAAGGTTATATCCTTTCGAATTGCGTGCTCTGAGTGCACCATCCATACATAAAATGGTGTTGTAAGATTGACAGATTCATGATTTCAAAAAAACAATGTAAGCCCTACAAAACTCATACAGCTTAGACATCATAACCCTATCGAAATCATACACCTGGGCTACAAACTTTCTCTGGTATAGACATATATTCTTTGTAACTGGGTTTGTAAATAGCTTTATTACATGAAATTAGAGTATGTTGAATACAAGTTAAATAGAGGAATATTCATAACTTACTTGTTGTTTTGTAAGACTACTAATTTCTTCACGCAATGTATTATTGAGATCTTCCGAATCCATCAAATCTCCTACTAGCGATGATAGCTCAGACAATGGGACCTATAAATCAGTAGCAATTAATGAAGAAAATCAAACAGTTGAACAATCACACTGTTTTTTTTTTCAAAAACTGCACAAATGAAAATAAACAAATAATGATAGTAGAAACTCAAACACATGCACAAAGAACAACTAATAGATGAATAGAAACATAGAAGTTTACAAGAATTACTGAATCGTTTTTTGCATTTAGACACATTTATACTCCTAAGACGTACATGCAGAAAATTCAATGAATAGTAGCTATTATAACTGCGAACGGAATGCTATCCACATTGAATTAGATCATTGAAAACATAAAGATAAGGTATACTAAAGATTAATCAAACACTGGTTATTAATACATATCAATGAAATCCATCAATAACCTAATTGCAGGTATGTGCTCAGAATCCATCGCATCTGATTCGGAACATCATAAGTGCAAGTGGCAGACTTCACACAGGCTGATAAAAAGCCAACTCAGTGAAAGCACACAGTACAGGGGTGGCAAATCAAAGATTGAAAATGCAGCACCTAATAGAAACACTGGACAACTGTCCAGAATTATCAAGAAAACTGGGATGAGGAATCCCACTGTTAGCGAGGCTATCTCGCAAAAACAGGGGACTATTGTGCATTCTCAATCCAGGAGATTGGATCGTATTTAAAGTCAATAAAGTTCCGTCATTAAATGCAAGATATAAAACAATTTCTTACTTGAAGTAACAATACACGTACAATTTATGTATTACGACTTATTCGAATGTATATCACTATTAAGATCAACTGCGACTATTATATATATGCATGGGGTGTCATCTCCATAATTGTATTTGTGTTTAATTTAGAACAACTTATTTTGGAAGAGCTTGATCAAACTGCTGGATCAACAATTCACCGGCTGTAAAAAATTGCGACAGCGCAGAAACATCTATTCTTCGTCTCCGCTTGAATCCTAATTTTCTGAATTCCTCACAACCCTTTCCTTCAATTCTTAAAATTATTTCATCGAGATATACTTCTCGAATCAGATATTCAATCCTTAATCTTTTCCATCACCGCTACTACTACTGTTACTCCTTCTACCACTATCGGGTTTCAACTGACAATTCAATCTGTCTGTGTTAATGTGTTACAGCAACTTGAACTGATATATGTACGTACAAAGTTCTATGTAGTACCTGAATTGGTGAGTTATCGTAGTAACATTCATTTACTTTGTCTAAATACATCCTCACTTCAATGTTCAGTGATTCAAGGCAGTGATACAACATAAATAAAGGATATGACTGCAGGTCACAGGTCCAAACTTAGCTTTTATCATTCGAAATACTTTCAACTGAAACAGCTGAGTTGAATAACTGTTACAACAAAAAATTTACAATATCACAATGTTAACATATCTACATTGAGTGTTTTACACTGTGTTCACCGGAAACCGAAATCGATACGTTCAGAAGTATTCTGAACTGACTGCAAAGCTAACAAGTTTCACTTCAAATAATTATAATTAGCAAATTAGTAGAATGAAGAAAATTTCAAGAATTTATTTTGTAATACACTGAAACATACCATTTCTTCACGGTTCTCCACTTCACTATCAACTACAATCTGAACCTCCATATCAACAGAATCTATTGTGGCTTCCACAAACTTATCCAACTTGATCACTTCAATCTAGGACCAAATAACAAAGATGAGATTTGTAAACACTAAAAAACTATAGCACCAGTAATAAACTGAGCTTCACATCCCCATAATCAAACATCAATGAAGAGACATTGTACCTTACTAACCAATAACCAGACCATGTACTCAGCTTTCAGAAAAACACTATCCTGTAAGTGACAACTGGTAATGAAACTCATGAACAAATGCTCTTTAAAGTGAAATTTCACAAATGCCCAATAAACATTGGACTACCGATCAAAATCGAATTCATCTTTCCAACTGATTTTTTAGAAAACGGAAGTAAAAATTAATCGCCTATAGACACTACAAACTTGATGTTATGGTAGTTATCACACTGTTAGTGAGGCTATCTCGGAAAACGATGGAACTAATATTCATTCTCAATCCAGAATACTGGATCGATGGGTGGAACTTTTTTTAGCGATCAGTTCAACAGGCCTTCGGCCACACTTCAGTTAGTTTACACATCTAGTCAATGTGAATGGCAAGTTCATGTAAATTCACCAACTCGTAATGAGGTTGAGAGCGTTATAGGCAATCTACAGCTAGGGAGAGCAGCAGGCCGAAAAGTAGCTAATCTCTGTGAATTTTAAAGCACTGACTGTCCTAATTTATACGAAAGAACAAAAGTCTTCCTGTGATAATCATACAAGAATTAGTTTTACTAATAAAGTGTCCAAAAACATATCATCTTCAATCCAATAATTCTTCAATGGCCAACTACATTTCGTGAAGAGCAGATTCGAGACAATCAGGCTGGTTTCGGACCAGGATGTGGATGCCCAAGTCGTCATGTCCTATAACTGTTTGGGCTGTTTATGTTGTTCAGAAGAACACTGAAAGCTCCATAACCTAAACATCCAGCTTACATAACAAAACTGCAACACAAACACTGACAAACGTTCAGATGTCTCACAATAGTTATATTCCATGATCTTATGGCGGTGTTTGACTCCGTTGATCATCAGATTCCTTGACAGCGTCTATCATTGACAGAAGTACTCAAAAAGTACATTAGCCTTGTATACGGTTTCTACTCGAACACTACTGGTCTGGTAACAGCTTATGAGGAACAGTTATCTGAATCGATTACTTCAAATGGTGTTCGTCAGGATTGTCCACTTTCTCCATTCTTGTCTCACTTTGTCATCAACATGTTTTTAGAGACGACATATTCATCGTCTCACTTCTCAGGAGTTGGCTTTCAACAAAGAGATTCACCTGTTGTCTTAGAATATGCCAATTTTTAGAATAAACTAGTTCATGCTCAAGCTATTCAACATACACTTGAACTTTCTTCCAATTTAACATCTTTACAGATACATTTTCAAATCACGGTGATTTATTTGTAATTGCGTTTCACATCAAACAAATTACTCAATGTTTACAATTTTCAAAAGTCCTCTTTAAACCGGAGTAAAAATGTTCGTAAGAGGTCCAAGTACAAGTTGTATGGACAATGTTACATTACACAGCTACTTACCTGTGTACAAGCATCACAATGATTCAATTCATCCTGTATGTAAACACTGGAAACATCGATTAATTTCATCTGTTTTGTTTCAATTTCATTAATATAATCCTGAATACTGTGACTTTCAGATGTATTTGTCATTGAATCAAGACAATTATTATTCTTATTCATTGCTGAAATAGAATAAGGTAGCCAGTCGTTCTGCTGATCAACAGATTTATACTGATTCCATGTTATTACATCATTTGTATTCTTGCCCAATATATCTTCATCAGAATCATTAGGTTTATTCCATGATTTAGATTGTACAAATGATTGAACATTTGATTTGATAGAATCATTTTGACATAAATTTTCCATTTTCAAATCAACCATCTTATGAGGTGTGAAATTATTTTTTCCTCTTTCTTCCAACGGTGTAGTACAGAAATAATTATCACCAGAACTCATGAATTTACTTGAAATCACTTGTGATCTGTACAAATAAAGTATGCAGTAAAGTTATTCAATACAACGATAAGACTATTTGCTATAAACTGGTAATATTGACCGAAGCTGCTACCTTGACGTGGTGGTCGGGATTGCCTATGGTGATGATCCGACCGAGCTATACCGGCTGGAACATATGTTCCTGCAGGTCCTACCATGCCAGGCAGGTCGATTGGCGAACGATGAGACTAAAAACAGCTACTCAAGGTCTGAGGGCGACGTCGTACTGCTGACTATTGCAGAGGGGTGTGAGAGCAGTAAGGTGTTTCCCTCGGACAACTAGCATCTACAGCGATGCTGCCTTCTATCAAGGAAGGAAGGAGTTAGAAAAGGTCGACCCTAAAAATGTCACACCTCACTTTACCTCACGGATTTCCGTCTCCTTGGGTAAGGGTGCCCACTAAGGGCCTATAAGAACGGAGCTAATCCTTAAATAATCTTTCATAAAAAGGCCGTGCGCGACCGGCCTCAAGAAGTTGTTCTTTGGGCTCTGCGGTCACGCACCCAGGGCTCCAAGACTAACACTAATCTATCT